CCTTGTTGTTAATGATGTTTTTCATTTCGAGATAATTTTCAAACCGTTGTTTATAATTCCGGAATGACTCTTTCTTCGCATCGAAACATTCGAAATTGGGTAGTAATGCCGTATTGAATGCATTCCCTTGAGCCGCTATACTCACTTGTGGTGTTTGACTTTGTGTCACTAATTTTTCGAGCATTGTTTTTTGAAAACTCATGAATTGAGCAAATTGTTGTGGATCCATCTTAGTTGTCTGATTGAGTTAGAATTTCCTTAACGATTAACCCGTTGATTCGGTTTTAGGTTAAGTACCAACCTTTCTATTGTTCTTGACAAACAAGATTTACTGTGTTGATGGATTTTTCTACCTCGTCGCCAATTTGTCGTGTCTATTCGAGGTGTCTGGTAAGGTGGCTTCGCTTGGAAAGGAAGGAACTCTAAAGCTGCCATTTCACGGAGCGAAGCTAAAGCTGGCGTTTACCCCCACTCTACCAAAGTAACGATACAGCGAAGGTGAGCGAAGGTAACGCTCAAAGTTGGATTTATCGAACTTTTAGCGAAGCTGTGAATTCCTAATCTAACCAGTGAGTAAAGACGTTGTAAGTATTAAAATAAAATAATATAGCCAGTACACAAAACAAATATCATGTATTTTTTATATTTTTAATGTTTCAGAATATATTATGGCTGGAAGAAGCGAGAAATACGCATCACCAAAAAATATAGACAAAGTTAGTATTATAATAATTAAGTATACTTGTAGGTTAAGTTGTTCTTTATTTCCGATAATTATAATATGTATTTTAAATTAATATATTAATTGATAATATACATGTTGTAGGAAATGCTGCACACATGTAGTGTGTGTGTGTGTAAATCAAAAGTAGTGGAGGAGGAAATATGCAATCATCCTTGTCTGAGAGGATATGAATTTTTTTATGTGGATGAAAATTTAATCTTTCATCCTCAAAATCAGAACCAAAGGACATAAACAATTCCAAATTACTTCGCACGTTTCGTGGATAATGTTACACGATGTTGTCAATCCCACAAGATATTGATACCCAGACAGCACACGACGTCCAATGGACGTCCATTTTATGTTCTTATTTAGTCCAAACGTCCATGGACCTAATATGGACGTTTTAAGAACGTACATTATTGGACGTACAAAATATGTTAATTTTGGTACGTTTTAAAGATGTCCATTTTATGTATTTATAAGAAACATGCGTTTGGCGGCTCACATATGCCTTTATTTATATGTTGCGACGTTATATCTATTCACGGATCGTACCAATATAATATAGTATAACAAATTATAACAATTATAATTACTAATACTTATTATATTCATTATACTATTATATTCATTATAATCTCCATTATATATTATATTGACAATTATCATTTTTCTAATGTTACTTTATTTCATATTGCAAGACTTTAAGCAGCGATAGCATGTATAAAAAGTTATTTTTGCAAAGGCTGTAGTACTTATATACAAGTGATAGTTAAAATAGTGTTTACCTGTTGTAACGATAACGTCGTGCGGTTCTTCTTATAATAATTTCAATGTCGTTTTCAATATCCGACCAATAAAGGTGGTTTATATTTCAAATAAATTAATACATTTCATGAATATATTTCAGATAAATGAAACCATTAAAAATGAGTAACATTCAGTATACCTACCCTGATGGAAAAATTTTGCTGAAAACGTAAGAAATTTGCTGAAATTTGGTTGAAAATCTCTTGCAATTGACCCAATTTCATTATCATTTCAGCAATTTTTCATTAAAAAATTTATTTTCGGTGAAATTCTGCAAATTTCATAATACATATACAACATTTATAAATTTTTTTATTAATTTTTAGTAATATTAATTAACTTTCATCTAATTTCACAGTATTTCATTGAATTTCATAACGAAACTTATGATTTATTTTAAAATGGTTTCAATAAGTTTCCAATAACTTTCATTTCACTTCTCATTAATTTCATTACATTTTCAGCAAAATTTTTCCATCAGGGTATCCCTGATAATATCAAAATAAATCATAAGTTTCATTATGAAATTCAATGAAATATTGAAATACTGTGAAATTAGATGAAAGTTAATTAATATTACTAAAAATTAATAAAAAAATTTATAAATGTTGTATATGTATTATGAAATTTGCAGAATTTCACTGAAAATAAATTTTTTAATGAAAAATTGCTGAAATGATAATAAAATTGGGTCAATTGCAAGAGATTTTCAACCAAATTTCAGCAAATTTCATTGCGTTTTAAGCAAAATTTTTCATTAATAAACATCCTTTTCACGTCCTAAAAACGTCCAGTTTTGGTCCGGCGGGGCCTTAAATCGAACGTTTTTAGGACATCCATAAAAGTAACATTGGAACGTTTTTAAAACGTCCTAAAGATGTTTATGGATCTAAAATGGACGTCTTACATACGTACGTAACGTCCAATGTATACGTTTTTAATACGTCTTTAAAACGTTTGTGTGCTGTCTGGGTATGACATCGACGTCATGGAATCCCCAAAAGCAAGATATCTACAATTTCATATGTACAATTTTATGTTATATAATACACATATTATATATTCATTTAAAGATTTTGTCATATAATATTATTATTAATACATATGTACATACAAAAGTAAACATACCTCAATGTTAAT